GGGGGTGCGTGCCGAAGCCCAGAACAGAGGTGGCCAATAAATGTGCTGACGTCCTAGCCTCCGAGAAGAGCTTGACATGAGTGATGATACCCAAGGGGTAAAGAGGCCCCCGAAAGTGAGCTTGACCAGCAAGAGCAGGAGCCGAGAGAAGAGGTTCCCCCACAGTGGACCCGCAGACCCAGCTTCTAGCCCTGGCTGCTCTCAGATTCCCCCGGGGAGCTTCCAGAATTTAGCGGTGTTCTGAATCGGGGTGTCAGTGTCTTTCTGACGTTCGTGGCTCTGGGGTGGGGCCCAGGTGGTGTGTTTCCGCACCGGCTCCCAGGGGAGTATGATGTGCAGTGGGAGCTGAGTGAGCACTCCTATAAAGACCAGAACAAACCAGCCAGAGAGAGAGCAGGTGCACCTCCTAGAAGGTCCCGGCCATAGGCCAGAGAGGAAGACTAGAACAAGAAGAGACACAGTCCTTTCCCGGTGACCAGAGGAGGGTTCGTGGTGGTGCGAGGCCCGGGGGTGGGGGGTGGGGCACCAGGCTGCTGGTGCTGCTGCCCGAGCCCCTCTGACCTCTCCCTCCCCTAACGGCCAGGTTCATTAAGATCGGCGACAAGGAGGTGGAGTACCACCCCAAGTTCCGTCTCATCCTGCACACCAAGCACTTCAACCCACACTACAAGCCCGAGATGCAAGCCCAGTGCACCCTGATCAACTTCCTGGTCACCAGGGACGGGCTCGAGGACCAGCTCTTGGCTGCTGTGGTGGCCAAAGAGCGCCCGGATCTAGAGCAGCTGAAGGTACGGGGCCCGCCGTCACGCAGCACAGGGCGGGCCGCTGGGGTCTCCGCGAGGTTTCTGACGCTGCAGCTGCCACCCCGATGTGGCTCCAGGGGCCCCAGCCCATCCCACAGGTCGGATTTTGTGCGACAGAAGGAGCCACTCTTCCTCCCCAGAGGCCTCCCAAACCTAACTCCAAATCCAACAGCCGCTTCTCTGATGGAAGAGGAGTCTCAGCGGAGCCCAGACGGCCACGCACCAAACTGCGGCCCCGTGGGCACGGTCTTTGCTGTGGGCCCCTGCGTGCGGTGACCTGCACACATGGGCTCAGAGTGTCCCCATGCCCTGGCCTCTCAGGCTTGTGGTGCTCCTCCCGTCCCAGCTGGGGCCTCGGCTGAGCTCCCCTCCTGGCGCTCTGTCCCTCCCGCAGGCGAACCTCACCAAGTCCCAAAATGAATTCAAGATTGTTTTGAAGGAGCTGGAAGACTCCCTGCTGGCCCGGCTGTCGGCTGCGTCAGGGAACTTTCTGGGGGACACGGCCTTAGTAGAGAATCTGGAGACCACCAAGCACACGGCCAGCGAGATCGAGGAGAAGGTAAGAGACCACCTCCAGGGCCTGCCCTGCACTCCCCGCCATAGGGCACCGAGGGCCTGCCACAGTGCTGGGAAGAGAAGCCACCGGGCCACGCGTGCCCCTGGGGCCCAGGGCAGGGAGCAGGGTCTTGCGCCCCACCCAGCACACTGCGGCCCAGTGGAGGGTCCCTCGCATGGGGCGGTGGGGGAGGGGTTGGGGGGGCCCACTGCTCACCGGCGCTGTCCACCCACTGGTCCCAATTGTTTCAAGGTGAAAGAGGCAAAAATCACAGAGGTTAAAATCAATGAGGCCAGAGAGAACTACCGGCCAGCCGCAGAGAGGGCGTCCCTGCTGTACTTCATACTGAACGACCTCAACAAGATTAACCCCATCTATCAGTTCTCGCTCAAGGTGTGGTCACGGCCGGGCTCTGGGGCTGGGGCCCTGGCGTCCACAGAGCCCCAGCCGTTGGGAGCACAGACGGGGTCCAGGCCGCAGACGGCAGTGGGAAGGGGGAGCCAGGGTGCGGGATCTGCCCTGGGCCAGCACCCCGGGGAAGGGGCTTCCTCGCCTGGTGCCCCAGACCCCCACCCACCACGGAAACAAAGCAGAGCCCTAGCAGGCAGCATGGGGCGGCCTCGGAGTCCAGCCCCGCAAGCCTCCATGTGCCCCCTCCCCAGGCCTTCAACGTGGTATTCGAGAAGGCCATCCAGAAGACCACCCCCGCAGAGGAGGTCAGGCAGCGAGTAATCAACCTGACGGACGAGATCACCTACTCCGTCTACATGTACACGGCCCGCGGGCTCTTCGAGCGGGATAAGCTCATCTTCCTGGCCCAGGTGGCCTTCCAGGTACGTCTGCCCTCCCTGCTCCAAGCGTGGTCCGCAACCGGCAGCAGCAGCGCCCGAGGGCTGGTCCCCAGTGCAGACTGCCCGGTGATGGATGCCCTTCCTGTCACTGCCATGGGATGTGCTTGGGGACTCTCTTTCGCTGGTATCAGGCACAGTTTTAAGGAGGAGGCACTGAAGGGGAGGTCCGTTAAGGAGAATGTTACAAAGAAAGGTCATTCTAATTACATTTACGGACTGCCTGGTAAGCAGTCCCGCGTCAGTGGTCAACCACCGTGGATGCCGAATACATTTTTTAAGGTAATACAGGTACAAAGGAATAAATATGCCTCCTGTTCATACGGACCTGCTGGGATATTTCAGATTTTTGTTCCATTAAATTGATGAAACAGCCCATCCACCATTTGGTTTGCTCCATCTTGTAAGTATGGTGGGAAACACTAATTTCCAGAGAGCTTCTAGAAGGTTGCTTTCCATCCAAACTCAAACTGTCCACCAGGGTCCAGATCAAGGAGGTTTTTCTTTATCTGTGAATCCCCGAATGGCAGCCCCTCTGTGAGGTTTCTCCTGCTGAAAGGGCATCAGGATATTTCCTTGGTGGTCCCCCTAAATTTCCAAAGAATTTTTCTTTTGACAAAAAAAAAAAAAAAAAAAAAGCAGGAGTCTGACTCTGGCGAAAGTCTTTGCTCTGCAGTGTCCAAGAGAAGCTGCATGGGGCCCTATGTGCGTGGTGGCCCTGGCTCACCTGCCGTCCATCTGGGACCCGAGACACGACTGGCTGGACGCCCTGAGAGCTGGTGTGCACGGGTGATGAAGAGACCCAGAACATGACCCAGAAGATCCCCCAGAAAATGTATATGCCCCCAAAGAATTGACTTGTGTAGAAACATTCTCAGCAGCTCTGCTCACACCTGCCACAAGGTGGATGCAGCCCAAATGTCCATCAAATGAGCGGATAAACAAGACGTGGTCTCTCCGCACAACGGAACCTTATTGTTCTGACACCCGCTACGGCGTGCATGAACCTCGAAAGGAGCCAGAGGGGAAAGGCCACATCTGTAGGATTCCCTGGACACGGAATGTGCAGAATAGGCAGATCTGGACAGACGGGGCACAGACCCAGGGCGCCATCGGCTGGTGGCGGATCCGGGGGCGCTGCTCAGGGGGTTCCCTTTGGGAAGATGAAAAAGCTCTGGTTCTAAATAGTGGTGATGGTTGGACATGACATGAATTTACTAAAATTTCGTACTTTAATCGGGTTAAAATGGTAAATGTCATGTGTATTTTATCATAATTTAAAAACACGACAATAAACCAAGGTGAATCCAAAGTCTGGCCTGGACCCAGGGGGCAGGACAGTGCTTCCTCTGCAGGGCCGGCGGGGGGGGAGCACCTCGGCCTGTCCCGTGCCCGTGACCAAGGCGTCCGGCACTCCCATGGGGGCCGTCGGCCACCCCTCCCTCCCCCACTGTTGTGGGACAACGCTGAGCGGCCCCATGTTCCCTCAGGTCTTGTCCATGAAGAAAGAGCTGAACCCAGTCGAGCTGGATTTCCTCCTGCGGTTCCCTTTCAAGGCGGGGGTCCAGTCGCCGGTGGACTTCCTGCAGCACCAGGGATGGGGCGGCATCAAGGTTGGTGTTGGGACTCTCTCCCTGCTGTGGGGGGTCTGGGGCTCACGCCGGGGATGTTTGCGAGGCGCTACCGCCAGCCGGATATCCAGTGACCCGGGGAGACCCCAGAGGTGGGGCCGGGGTGCAGAGGGCTCCTGCCGGCTCACAGAAATCTCTACTTTCCTGTTCGAACACAACGGTCACTCCGACCCGCACACGGCCCCACGAGCTGAGCCACGACAGGCCCCAGGGCGGGTCCAGGGCCGCCCGATACCGCTGCCCACCCTCCCAATCCCGGGCAAGTGTCCAGGTGGTTCCTCCAATCTGGGCCCACACACTCAGGGGCCCCCAGCATCTTGGGTCAGAAGGCCTGAAGAAGGCAGCCCCCCCATGATGGGAGCAGCCCCGGTCCCTCAGCCCTCTGGAGGGGCAGCTGGAGTCCTATGCCTACGCTAGACCCTCCATCCACGTTCCTGGCCCTCAGGGGCACCAGCAGCTCATTTTAGCGCCAAGCCAGGTGGCCCACCCTCTCCCAGCATCGGGACAGGGGGGCGCGGGGGGAGCTGAAAGGCCGCCTGCCCCCAGGCCCTGTCGGAAATGGATGAGTTCAAGAACCTGGACAACGACATCGAAGGGTCTGCCAAGCGGTGGAAGAAGCTGGTGGAGTCGGAAGCCCCTGAGAAGGAAATCTTCCCCAAGGAGTGGAAGAACAAAACGTCCTTGCAGAAGCTGTGCATGGTGAGGTGCATGCGGCCAGACCGCATGACCTACGCCGTCAAGTGAGTGTGTGGCACCCTCCCGGGTGGGTGGGGAGACAGAGGGAGGCCCCGCGGGGCCCACGGGCACGGGACCCCACCTGCAAGCGCTCCCCGCCCCGTCTCCTCCCGCCAGCCTGAGGGACCAGTGAGGGGAAACAGGACCCCCCCCGACGCCCCCCCGCCAACCCTGAGCCAAGATTCTCTACAAAGTGTGGGCGTTAATGACTCTGAGGCCACAAGGAGTCCTTTAGGACAGTGGAGAGAAAACTGTGGCAAAGCCATCATCATCCGGATTTTATGCCCCCAGTGGCTACATTTAAAGTAAACTGTTGGGCCAGCTTCAGCTCATTTGCAGAGAATTACTCTAACTTTGTGAATAATTTCTCTGCCCCTGAAGCTCCTGCACGATTGGAAAATTAATCACCGTGGCCTTCCAGCCCCCCCTCCCGTTCACTCCCCATTTGGGTCTGCCATTTCACAAAAGGACTCCAGGAACAGTGACATCACACAACACTGCACCGGTCCCCACAGGTGACATCTGAGATGTCCCATCCACCCTCTCCTGGAGTGGACAGGGTTTCCCTCCTCCTGACCCGGGGCCGACCTGGGAGCACGGAGATGCCACAGGAAGGGGGGACAGAGATGCCACAGGAAGGGGGATGGAGATGCCACAGGAAGGGGGACAGAGATGCCACAAGATGGAGGATGGAGATGCCACAGGAAGGAGGACAGAGATGCCACAGGAAGAAGGGAGGACAGAGATGCCACTGGATGGAGGATGAGGATAGAGATGCCACAGGAAGGAAAGGGGACAGAGACACCACAGGATGGGGGATGGAGATGCCACAGAAGGGGGACAGAGATGCCACAGGATGGAGGATGGAGATGCCACAGGAAGGGGGACGGAGATGCCACAGGAAGGAAGGGGGACAGAGACACCACAGGATGGAGGATGAGGATGCCACAGGAAGGAGGGAAGACAGAGATGCCACAGGAAGAAGGGAGAACAGAGATGCCACAGGATGGAGGATGAGGATGGAGATGCCACAGGAAGGGGGACAAGGCAGACAAGGAATCAAGCCCAGCGCCTATTCTGCGACATAATACGGCGTCTTTGCCTTTTCTTGGTCCTAAAAGCCCCAAAGCAGCCAGATGCCCCGAAAGACACCTGTGTCCCTAACAGAACTCCCCTCTGACAAAGCAGAGGCCCGACTCCCATGCACCGGTTGTTCACAAACGTGTCTGTTTTGCTCCGTTTGGTTGGGGGTCACGGGCAGGGCAGCAGGAAGTGCAGGGAAACAAGAAATCCCCACCATGGAGGACAGTCGTGCCGGAAGAAGTTTGGACAAAGTCTGGGAAAGATGGAGGGGAAGGACACCTGGCCATCACAGCAGGGACATCAGCCGGGGAGCGGAGCGCGGTCAGGTATCCAGGCCCACAGCCCCCAGCGCATGGTGGCACGTCACCCAGGGTCACGCGTGTGAAGGCACGAGGATGCCCTGAATGAAGTACCTCAGACCGCGTGAGCCTTCGTGCGCTTCGCTGGGGCCTGGGCGACCCCAAACCCCGCTCCGTGACATGTCTGTAGCGTCCAGGAAACCAGAGTTACCTAATTCTACCGGAGCCATGCAGCTTAAAAGCAAGGAGATCCAAATCCACAGTGAATAATGTAACGGGGTGGATTGTGTGCCAGGCGCCAACCAAAGCCTCAGCTCACTTGCCCCCCCGAGTGGCCCCTGAGGCTCAAGGGCCCAGAGACGGCAGTGACTGGCCTGGGGCAGAGCAGTGGGGTGCCCGCAAACTACCTCCCCCCCCACAAAAAAGCCCAGCTTCTGTGGTGCAGACACCCCGGGGCTCCCGGGGAGCGGCTGGGAGCTGACCCCAGCTCTCCTCTGCCAAGGATGCGGTGCCCAGAGTGGTGGGGCCCGCCGGGAACCAATGTGCGCTGTTCGTCATTAATTCACCCGCGGAGAATGACCGTGTGGCCTGCCAACGTCGTTAGCAACGGTGATTTAGTGACATTCCCGTCTAGGGCAGGACTTGGGACATTCCAGAAGTCCTTCCTGGACACGGATGCTAGCCTCCACATTGCGAGTCAGTTCCCAAGGCCGGAATCGAGTACAACTGGGGAGGGTTTCAGGAGGAGCGCCCCCGACACCCCGCCTGGAGCCCTCGTCGGCTCGGGAACTGCACAGAAGCCAGCAAAGGCCACAGCGAGAGACAAATCCTGATAAAAGGGTCCCCGGAAAGTCCTGCTGGCACCAAGGTCCCCACGGAGCCGGAGGGTGTGGGGCGGCCTCTGAGGGAGCCCTTCCCTCCACTGTTCTTTCAAAGACTTACGTGCTGCTTTTAAAGACACTAAATCTTAGTATTTCAGTGCCTGTGAATCACTCAGAACGTGGTAAGCTCAGCCCCCTGTGATGGAAAGGCGCAGAGAGCTCTAAAGGTCACCCCCAAACAACACCAGATTTCCCCTAAGAGGGGCCCAATTGACCCCAGACTTCTTGAGGGTCAAGAAAGTAAGTTTGGGGCTCGGAACACAGAGCTGCTTCTGTAAAGACAGGTATTTATGTAAATTCCTTTTTTTTTCCCTGTGATTTTTCTGATGAACCATGTTTTGTGGTCTTTGAGTTCACCAAGATGGCTGCAAACGTGAACTTCCTTCCTCCTCAAACCCCCAGTCCGGAGAGCTCACCAGGACCAGCGAGAGCGGTCTGTGTTCAGCTTCTTCCTGCAGCCCCTGCTGGACAGCAGACGGACAGCGTGTGGGAAACGAAATCGCCATAACCCGTCCCCTTGCCTGGGAGCGCAGACGGCTCGAAGGACCCAGGGGCCACCTGGTGCTGGGGCGTGCTCACCCAGAATGCCCTGGGTTGTGGTGCCACTGAGGCTTATGTTCCCTCCCAGGTGACCTGGGAGCCTCTGAAAACGGGGCCGCAGGAGACCACCTCTCACCTGCTGGCACGTTGTAGGGCCCGGCAGGGACGGAGGCGAGAAGCACCTGCTCCCCCGGCCACACCCTCCCCCGGCAAAGAGGAAAGCCCCCGAAAAGACTGCCTTCGGGCCTGAGACCTTGCTCTGCTTAAGAAAGTCCACCAAAGCGGCACCTGGCTGGCTCGGTCAGAGGAGCATGTGACTCTTGATCTCGGGGTCGTGAGTTCAAGCCCCACGTTGGGTGTAGAGACTACTTAAAAATAAAATCTTTAAGGGGGTGGTGCAGCTGGTTAAGGGTCCGACTCTTGATTTCAGCTCAGGTCATCATCTCAGGGTCGTGAGAGCAAGCCCTGCATCAGACTCCACACTCAGCACGGAGTCTTCTTGAGATTCTCTCTCCCTCCCCCACTGGGCCTCTGCCCACTCGTGTGTGCACTCTCTCTCTAAAATAAATAAACCTTTTAAAAAATAACTAAAAATAGGGGTGCCTGGGTGGCTCAGTTGGTTGAGCCTCTCTGCCTTTGGCTCAGGTCATGGTCCTGGGGTCCTGGGATCGAGTCCCACGTCAGGCTCCCTGCTTGGTGGGGAGACTGCTTCTCCCTCTCCTGTTCCCTCTGCTTGTTTTCTCTGTCAAATAAACAAATAAAAACTCTCAAAAAAATAATTAAAAATAAAATAAAATCTTTAAAGAAATAATAAATAAAAGAAAGCCCCCCAAGAAGAGGGCCCTTCCACCAGGGGTCCCAGCCCACCCCGTCCCCCTCGCCGTCGGGTCTGACCAAGCGCGTCTCCCTCAGGAACTTTGTGGAGGAGAAGATGGGCAGCAAGTTCGTGGAGGGCCGGAGCGTCGAGTTTTCCAAGTCCTACGAGGAGAGCAGCCCTTCTACTCCGATTTTCTTCATCCTTTCCCCAGGCGTTGACCCCCTCAAAGACGTGGAAGCCCTGGGTAAGTGGAGCCGGCCAGGGAGGCCTCAGAGAGGGGCGGCCACCAGGAAATGCGCATGAGCCACAGTGAGGTGCCCCTGCACCCCGGTGAGGAAACAGAAACCGATGAGCCTGGGAGAGAGATGAGCCTCCCGCAGGCCCGGGAGGAGGCACAGCGGTGCGGAAAGCAGGCCAGTGCTTCCTTGGCGGGGGACACAGGCAGGCGCTGTGGGACCCCGCGATCCCACGGCTGGTGCACACCCCGAGAATGAAAGCAGGTGTTTAAGCACATGCTCCATAGGGCTGATCACTCACAACAGCCAAAAGGCAGATGAAAGCCAACGTCCATCAACTGTGAGTGGGTAATCCCCACGTGGTGAAGCCACACGATGGGACAGTTCTCAGCCACCAAAATGAGGTGCCGAGAGGCACTGCCCCACGGACACACCTTGAAAACACCGTGCCGAGAGGAGTCCCCGCCAGACACAAAGGCCCCCTGTTCTAGGCTTCAGCGTATCGGAAGCATCCAGAATAGGTAGATCCACAGAGACACGGAGCAGCTGAGCGGCTGCCGGGGGCGGGGGCGGGGCTTCCTGATGGGAGGAATGGAGAGTGCTGGAACCAGAAGCATGGCTGCACAACACCGTGAATGTATTAAATGTCACCGAACTGTACACTTGAAGATGGGTTTGAAATTGGCAAATCTGATGTGTTTTTTACAATAGCACACAAAGCGGGGAGGGGTGAGATTCCCGGCAGGATGGCAGAGCCGCCCCCACGCACTTCCTATTCTCTTTCCTTCAGGGAAAAAGCTGGGATTTACCATAGACAACGGGAAACTGCATAACGTGTCCCTGGGGCAGGGACAGGAGGTGGTGGCTGAGGACGCTCTGGACATGGCTGCAGAGATGGGACACTGGGTCATTCTGCAGGTACGGGGGTGCCCGCACTTGCACCCATGGGAGGGGCAGGCGGCTCCTACACCACGTCCCCTCTGCCTGGTCCGTGACGTGGTGCGGCCGCCACCACCACCTTACTCGGTGAGAGGACGCTGGGCTTTAGGCCAGAGTTTCCCTACAGAGATGCTGCTTATGAAGCCCAAACTCCAGAGCGGACAAAAGCGCCGTTCCTCCTCCTCCTCTTCCTCGCTTGGGGGAAGCACCAGGGGCCCCTGCAGCCTCTCCGAGCCCTCTCCTGAACCCCAAGGAGCACCTGCAGTCCTGCCCGGCCTGCACAGGGTGAGCCGACCTCGGTCGGCATGGCCTAGCCTGGTCCCGAGTGGAGACCCCAGCTTCATGCCATTCCTTCTACCCAAACCTCAAAGCAGGGGTGGGGACCATATCAAGTCAGCCTTATGCCCGGGGAGGCCGGGGAGGACTCGCCAGGAGGCTGGAGGTCTTGAATTCACCGAGCACGAATACTGACTCCCAGGCCTCAGCAGAAATTGGCTGGCGTGCCCGGCGCCCGGGGAAGGGCGGACAGCGGGCACTGCTTGGAGGGACGTGTGGGAGGGACGCGTGGGTGCTAAGCCCCGGTCTTGGCCACAGAACATCCACCTTGTGGCGCGGTGGCTGAGCACCCTGGACAAGAAGGTGGAGCACCACAGCATGGGCAGCCACGAGGACTACCGCGTGTTCATCAGCGCCGAGCCCGCCCCCAGCCCCGAGTCGCACATCATCCCCCAGGGCATCCTGGAAAACGCCATCAAAATCACCAATGAGCCACCCACGGGCATGCACGCCAACCTGCACAAGGCTCTGGACCTCTTCACCCAGGTGAGGCGGCTTCCCCTCCGGCGCGCGTATCCCACAGACAGAAAGGCAGCTCTGGCCTGCACTGCTGGGGAGCAGGCTTGAACTCCGAGGATGGCTGCACCCTGGTTCTCGCCGCTCCACGCCACCCCCAGCACACACGTGCACGTGCGCACACGCACACACACACGCCTCACACCACGAAGTCAATATATTCCTGGAAGACTAAGTGAAACGTACATAGCGTGAAATGCAGTCAAGTTACAGCTTTAAAGACAGTTTCATGACCTGCGAGCCAGCACAGGTCAATGCATCACAGGTCCTGGGCTTGTCAGAGCCCCTCAGGAAGGGGCCCAGCTCTGGAGGGCGGTGTGCTGGGCTCCAGTGCATCTCGGCCCCCTCTCTGGCTCCTCAGGAGACAGAAGGAGATGCTCTTGGTTGGCTCAGGCTGCCGCCAAGGCCTCCCTCAATCCCCAGCAGGCCCCCACCTTGCTTCAGTGGGACAGCTCCTGTGGCCCCTCCCTCCCCGTCCAAACCTCCTGCCCCACCCCCAGCCTTGCCCCCTTCTGCAAGACCCTAGCATCTACGTTCATCTCTTGGCACCTGATCTTCTGTTCTGCACCAGAACCTTCTGGGTGCACACACTTATCTCCCAAGTGGAGTCTAAAACCTTTTTAAGGAAGACACCCCTACTGCCTGGTAGCACCTACAAAGACTACTCATGGAGCACATTGTGCTGAGAATGAACAGCTCGCCATGGTTTCTAAACAGTCTGGGCTACTGTTTGTGTGCGCACCGTGAGGGGTGCTGACCGCTGCCAAGGGACAGTACTTCTCCTTAAGTCCTGAAATGTCCTCTGTTTGTGAATATTTTATTAGAAAGCAGCATAATTTGACTTGTAATCAATACTTAAGTGATAGAAGTGCCATTTCTGAAAGAAGTAAAGACAAGAAAGCATTCTCTCCTCCAGTCCGTGGACCGGGGGCTCCGGCAGCTGCCCCCCTCCACCCCGCGCTGCCCCTCCTGCCCCCAGCAAGACAGCTGGCAGAGGCAGGACTCGGGTCCCCTCCCGCAGGACACCCTGGAGATGTGCACCAAGGAGATCGAGTTCAAGTGCATCCTCTTCGCCCTGTGCTACTTCCACGCCGTGGTGGCCGAGAGGCGAAAGTTTGGGGCCCAGGGCTGGAATAGGTTGTACCCCTTCAACAACGGGGACCTCACCATCTCCATCAACGTGCTCTACAACTACCTGGAGGCCAACACCAAGGTAAGGGTGCGCCTGGTGCCCAGCAGGGTTCTCTGCGCCCCCAACCGCTCCCCGTCAACTGTGCAGTGGCTCATGCTCAGGACACATCCCATAGTGTCGTAACCCAAACAAAACCTGAAAACAAGAAGCCCTGAGACCCCACCCAGCAGGTGGATACGATAAGTGTCGCCCTGTCCCTGGCCACCAGCCCTGCGGCACTTGTCAGCCGTCTGGCAGTTCTTCCCCTTGGTAGCACACTCCATGGGGGCAGGCATCTCTGGGGGGCCTGCCCAGAAATCCTGGGGGGCGGGGACAAGGAGGGGCCTCCCTGGTGCATGGGCAGCGTCCGCAGACAGAACCCGGGTCCAGAGGGAAACCCAAAACGATCTCCCTGGAACACACGAGTGCTGCTCTGATTTTCCTGATGGTGGAGATACATGTGTGAGGTGCTCTGCAGATGGCCTCAGAGGATGGAGAAGCCCGCAGACTGAGAGGGGCCGCGCCCGGTCCCCCTCGGAGGGAGTCTGACTCCTGGAGAGCCCGGCACGGGCACAGCATGGCTGCTGTGACCCCCAGGGGAGGCAGGTGCCCACGCACCCCAGAAGCCTCGGCTCCTCCTCACTGGCCCCGAACCAGCAGTGACAGGACCACGGCACAGCGCCGATGACACCAAGCGGGCTGGGCAGTGGCGGGAGGGCCAGACAGTGGGACCAGGCAGTGCCCCTCCTCACACCCCGGCGGCATGGTGGCAGACGGTGCTGGGGTCCAGGGCCCCGGGCTTGAAGTCCAGCTCTGCCTCTCACCAGCTGAGACCTCCCCGACACTGGGGCTCAAGCTCCAGGGGTTGGGCGAGGAAAGTGCCCCGCCGGGCCTAGGGGTGCTGGTCTCAGGACGCCCGCCTGTTTCCCACTCTGCTGTAAAAAGCTCAAGATGTGGGCGGAGGCGAAGGAGGCCAGGGCCAGGGCGGGACGGCGAGCACAGCCTTGCATACCCTTCCCCACAGGAGGCCAGAGAAGGTCTGACGACCTCTGAGGACAAACACCATCACTCCCCCAGCCGTGACCCCGCAGGGCGGCCTCTCCACACTGCCATCACCCAAATCTGAGCCCACCACACGGCTCACAGGCTTGGTTCCTGGCGAAACCCATGCCCGGAGACAGGAGGGCCGAAGGGGCCAGCAGGCAGCTATCCCCAGGAAGGGAGCTGGTCTCCACCTGCAGGTGGCGGGGATGGAGGGCTGGCGGTCCGCTTCACCTAGAGCCGAGCTGAACCCTCGCAGCTACCTTCCAGCTCTCGCCAAGAAGGAGATGCTGGGGAGCGGCCGTGAAGGAGCAATTTGGTTAAGAGACGTTTTCTGGGGAGATTGGTATGGGAGGAACAGTGCTCGAGTTTTTTGAAGACGTTTATTCAGACACTTGCCCCATTATTCACACACACACAGAAGCCAAGGTGGGGAGGAAATGGCTCGAGAACGCATGCCATGAGCTTCAGCGACCCCCTGACAGGAGTGAATGACACAGGAACGCACGTCCTGCCGAGCAGTGACCGGTCAGGCTGGGCGCACCAGGCTCCAGGTGGCATGACCCCTCCTCTGTCCGAGCTCACAGCCTCGACAATGTTAAGTGAACAGAGGACATGGTCCAGAGCATTGGTTAAGAACACAGACCAACTCACGCAGACTCTTGGGGGAAGGCCAGGAGCCCTGTCTCTGACGAGTGCTCCAGGACTCTGTCGGCACGAGTGGGAACAGGGGTGGGTGGTGTCCGTCCCTGCTTGTTAGTGCCACGGTCCCCACCCCGCAGGGAAGGGCGTCCCTGGGAGGAAGCCCGCGGGGCCCAGGGGGTCAGAGGGGCCTGAGGAAGCGAGCTGTCCCCGAAGCAAACAAGTAAAACACAGAAAAGCAGCTCAGCACGTACCCAAGATAACCAGGCAGAGAACAAACTTTAAATCACAAAACGACAATTAAGAGAGTATTAACATTTTGAGTGAAATTCACGAGACCGAATCAGGCAACCGATGAGTGCACGAGTTCTTTACTCGATAAACTGTGTCAGGAGGCCACCCACCTGCGCCGCCCGGGGCAGTGGCGGGACGAACCGCACGCACGTGGCATCCGAACTGCGTGAGATCCACACTGGACGGCAAAAGCGTGGTGCAGGTGAGAGTGTAAAATAGCTTATTAATTCATCGTTTTCATGCTGGCCGTCTGCTGGAACAGTCTTCTTACTTACGTGGCTGCTCGCAAATTTGGGATTGCATACGTGACTGCTGTCTGCGGCCCCCAAGCCGCTTCGGTTGGACGGCACCGTGCTGACACCTGCCAGCCGAGCCCAACTCCTGGCTTCGCGGAGGAGGCTTCAGAAGGTGGTGGCGGGGTGCAGTGGCCCGCGCAGAGCGCGAGGTCAGGCAGCCGCGCTCTGGGCGCTGCGCTACCCGTCTACGCAGCCCCGCGGGACGCGCAGGTACAGGGAGCCGCTGGGAACACGGAGCCAGGTAAGCTCAGCAGGACCGCAAGGCAGGCCACCGGATGGAGACATCGTAAAGGTGTGACCAACAGGACTCTGTGGCCAAAAGAAATGGCACCCAAGAGTAGACACCCAGTCACCGCGGAAACCGCTCCGGTCAGGTGGCCAGCGTACGGAGTCACGGGTGGCTGCGCGCCTCCGAGCGGGGCTGACATGGGAGGCCCGCGAGAGGGAGCGAATGGCGGCTGCAGGGTGGGCCTGTGGAGCACACTGCCGGCGGTCACAGTCAGGGCAGAGGCCAGGCCACAGGTGGAGGGAACGGCCAGGCAGCCCTCGCCAAAGGAGCCAAAGGCAGGAGACGGCCAGGGGGTGCTGATGGCCGAGTCAGACCCCGAAGGGGCGGGGGCGCTTCTAACCGCTTGCGTCCTTTCTCAGGTGCCCTGGGACGACCTCCGCTACCTGTTTGGAGAAATCATGTACGGCGGCCACATCACGGACGACTGGGACCGGCGGCTGTGCAGGACGTATCTGGCGGAGTACGTGCGGGTGGAGATGCTGGAGGGCGAGATCCTGCTGGCGCCGGGCTTTCAGATCCCCCCCAACCTGGATTACAAGGTGAGCGGGGGGCTCTCTCTCGGGGACACGAGCTCGCCCGATGTGACAGCAGCCAAGGGCGATGCCGCCCCGGCCAGCTCTGGGGCCAGGCTAGCATCGCAAACGGAGTATCTGTGATTGAGCAAGAAGCCAGGCAACGGAAATGAGAGCTGGCTTGAAACAGCCTCTGGGGGCGTGGAGATGGTTCATGTGGCTGGGGGTTGGGGGGTGGAGCAGCCAGAAAGGGGGTTAGAGAACTGTGGGGGTTTGTGCAGACGGCAAGACGTGGGCAGAACATTCCGGTCCGAAACACTTGATCGGTGGACACGGGTTCCAGCTTGCACGGCTTTACCTTGGCAGCCCGCTCACCCACTACCCCTTCTCAGGGTTACCACGAGTACATCGATGAGAACCTGCCCCCCGAGAGTCCCTACCTGTACGGCCTGCACCCCAATGCAGAGATTGGCTTCTTGACAGTCACGTCAGAGAAGCTGTTCCGCACCGTCCTGGAAATGCAGCCCAAAGAGACCGACTCAGGAGCAGGCACCGGAGTATCTCGCGAGGAGAAGGCAGGAGCCTTAACACCCGGCCCAGGGCCAGACAAAGGGCGGGGCCTGGAACCTGGGGTCGAAAAGTGCACCCCCAGAAACCGGGGTGGAGCTGTGAGCTGGCGAACAGGCCCAGGGGTGCTGCCCAGGGGCTATTCCCCACCCCCAGGCCTCCCTCCCTGCAGACTCTAACTTGGCCCAGCTGGTGGGGGGGGGGGGGGGGCTCCTACCCGACAGCCCAGAGGCATCAGAACAGCCCCTCCCCGAGAGCTTAGAAGACCCCCAGGGGGCTCATCCCATTAATACTCGAAGAACCAAAAAAACTTCAGCGTTAAGAACTTTTAACCCGTTCTCACTTGCCTGGGTTACCTCTGCCGTCTAGTGAGCAATTAACACCCTTACACTGTCCAGTAAATTCTGGACAAGTTCTGTTAACAGCCAGCTGAGTACTGGGCTTACTGGTGATAGACCAGATTCTGGACCAGAAGACCCTCAGTGCTGTGAGGCCACACAGCCCTTCCTTGGTCTAATGACTAGAATCAGACTTCTCACGGCAGTAGTGTAGACGACCCCGTGTGGGCCACTCCTGGAGAGGGTGTGACCAGAAGGGTCCCCAAAGAAGCCCCCATGGGAGACTCGAAGGTCACAGTCCTATGGGTGCCAGCTGATCTGACGGGGGAAGGAAGCCGTGCATTTGGGAATGTCTGCAGCTCCCATGGCTACAGTCCAATGGCTTTGATGACCAGACTATTCAAAGCCTGTTGGCCAAGATCTCCTCCTCTTGTCAGACGTGCGGCTACACCTCCGGGACCGATTCTCAGGCAACTCCACTGCCCTTTGCTCCAGGAGCCCTCGCTGTGAACGTCCGGCGCAGGCTCCCCGACCCTGACGCTGGGGGTGGGCTGGCAGGCGCATGCGGTGACTGGGCTTGTCGGGGACTGACTTCCAGGTGAAGGCCGTGCTGGAGGAGATCCTGGAAAAGGTCCCGGAGATGTTCAACATGGCCGAGATCATGGCGAAGGCGGCTGAGAAGACCCCCTATGTGGTGGTCGCCTTCCAGGAATGTGAAAGAATGAACATCCTCACCAATGAGATGCGCCGCTCGCTGAAGGAGCTGAGCCTGGGGCTGAAGGTAACACCGCACAGGTCAGCTGGGACCCAGGGCAAGACTTAGGAGGCAGGCGGGCCGCCGCAAGCAGACCCCCCACCCCAGCTGCAGAGCACAGAGCCCGGGCCCTGGGCGTTGTCGCCGTACCGCCTCCTCTGGGTTCCCCGGTCCGGGGCTGCGGGCCCGCCAGGCCGGGGGGCACACACCCAGGATCTGTGCCAAGCTACTTTTGAGGACTCACAGCACGGATGGGGTGGGAGAAACAAGGCATGGGCCTGGCCAGGTCCGCGTGCCTGTGAGTGGCCTGGGCTGCCAGCGCCCCATCCGTATGTCCTTAGGGGGAACTGACCATCACGACCGACATGGAAGACCTGTCCACGGCGCTGTTCTACGACACTGTGCCCGACCCGTGGGTGGCCCGGGCCTACCCCTCCATGATGGGCCTGGCGGCCTGGTACGCCGACCTGTTGCTCCGCATCAGGGTGAGGACAGTGTCCCCGGGTGTCACAGCACACCCCACCCCCCAGGGCCGGCAGGACCGCGGCTGTGAAGGGGCCGCGTGTCCCCCCAGAGGCCTAGAGGCCCTCACTGGCCTGGCCTTCGTCAGAGCAGGGCCGGAAGGGCCTGGCCCAGGCCACAGAGACGCCTGACAATGTAGGCACTTCCTGCAGAAGGGACAGCGGCCCGACAGCCCTCTGCGCCAGAGCCCAAAGCCCCAGGGGCACCGTCCGGGGAACCGCCTTGTCAAAGCCTCCTTTGGGACCCTAAATTGTCCTCGGATGTGAAGCCCCTCTCCAGACCCTCCTCCTCCCATTCCCTCATTTAAACTGGAGCCAGTGGGCACCGGGCTCTGCTGATGTACGTTTCCACCAGGAGCTCGAGGCCTGGACGACAGACTTCACCCTGCCCACCACTGTGTGGCTGGCCGGCTTCTTCAACCCCCAGTCCTTCCTCACGGCCATCATGCAGTCCATGGCCAGGAAGAACGAGTGGCCGCTGGACAAGATGTGTCTATCTGTGGAAGTAACCAAGAAGAACCGGGAGGACATGACGGCACCGCCCCGAGAGGGCTCCTATGTGTATGGGCTCTTCATGGAAGGTAATGAGGGTGCCGGTCAGAGGAAGCTTCCAGAGCCAGTCCCGCTGGGCTGGAGGGCAGAGACCAGCTGGGAGGGGGCAGGTGGTAGAGGCACGCGGAAGGGGCATGTCGGCTGGAAGCTGGACGCTGGTGGAGACGGTGGTGCGAGTCTGAGAACGCTCTCAGACAGCAGTCCGGAGACCAAACCTGCCGCACAGGACAGCCAGCCTGGCTCTGCCTGGCCGGAAACGGCAGGCGCATCCTTAGGTGTGAGCACCTGTTTCAGGGCGGTGAGGAACACGGCCCTCCCAGAGGGCCTGGGGGCAGGGAGCCCGGGCAGGCGGACAGCTGGGGGCGCCAGCGTTCCCGCCCCGGTCCCACCTCCACGTGGTCGGGCAAGCAGCAGCAGGGAGGGCACCAGCTGCCCCTACCTCCCCTGTCCTGCGCCGGCGGAGGCCGCAGGGCCACCAGGCAGCCTGGTCCCTTAGACCTGTCGAGCTGAGAGGCAGCTTTTTCCACCACAAACCGTCCCACTCAGCAACTGACGCCACCCCCTTACCTGTGGGGGTGTCAGGGTTTAGCCGGCAAAGGCTCAGGGCTCCCCAGTCCCCACGTCAGAGACAAGCATGACAGAGGCCGCTCTCCATGTTTATTTTGGAATGACAGACAAAAAACACAAACACCATTAACAGGGTGAGTAAGAACGATAGCGGTCTGGTTAAAGGCAAATCAAAGTTCTGTGTGTGTGCGCACATATGATCGCGTGCCCTGCGCATGCACACACAGGCTGGACGATGCACATGTGACCTCCTGGGACTTCCAGCTGCAGCCACCACTTCCTGCCACTGAGGCTGAGAAGGCTGACGGACAGGTTCTGAAAATACCACCCATGTAAACGGGTGGCCCCGAGAACTTGAGGCAGAGCTATCCCTCTGAGGCGCCTGGCGGGGTCCCAGGGGTCCCGGCATGCCCAGCACTCCTGCCCAGTCCTCTGCTCACAGCCCCACCTTCAGCCGAGCCTGCGCCAGTCCACCCCCTGGCGCCCCTGCCAGCCCCAGCTCGCTGCCGGCACACCACGCAGCACCCAGGCACGGCCCCACAGGCCACCCTGACCTCGCCGTGCTGTCCTGCAGGCGCTCGCTGGGACACCCAGACTGGAGTCATCGCTGAAGCCAGGCTGAAGGAGCTGACGCCAGCCATGCCCGTCATCTTCATCAAGGCCATTCCTGTGGACCGCATGGACACCAAGAACATCTATGAGTGTCCTGTGTACAAAACACGCATCCGCGGCCCCACCTACGTCTGGACCTTTAACCTCAAGACCAAAGAGAAGGCAGCGAAGTGGATCCTGGCGGCCGTGGCCCTGCTCTTACAGGTCTAGCATAGCTGGTGCCAGGGTTGACAATTAGAAATTCAGCCCTGCCACTGTTCCTTATTTTTATAGGAACCGATAGTTGCCTTTTGTCTAAGTAACCCAGACACTTTAGAAGCACGTCAAGGTGGACGGGCCAGAGAGTGGGGGCGGCGGTGCAAGGGGGGGTGCAGGCCGGATTAAAACAGAAGTCACTAAGTTGCGCTTGTCTGACTCACTGGAGCTGGGGGACTCCCCTGTTCCTGCTGCTGAGGCGAGCCCCCCAGGAGCCCAGCCCCCAAACCCTGCCGGCCCACAAGCAGCTTGGAGGTGTGAGCACAGCAGCCATGGCCTCTGGCCTGACGCGCCACGCAAGCAACCCACCAGTGAGGGGCCAGGGCGTCCGTACCAGCAGGAACTGCCACCTCCACAGTCCCCTGAGGCGCTGTCCCTTCTCCCAAGGACAGAGAACCTTTCTTGATTCAGACAAAGCCTCCTCCCTCCCAGGTCCCGGGTGCTGAGACACGCCAGTCCAGAGGCAACTTTGTACCTTCAACCGCCCACTTTCTGAGCATGCGCACAGAACATCACGAACTTGGTTCCCGGGACAACCATTAATTAACGTGTGTCCTTGGAGGTCACAGGCTTGTCATGTCCACAATAACTCCCGGAGGCCGTGGGTCCCTTTTCAGGAGGCACAGCACCTTCCTTTCCTCCCGCCCCTGCGGTCCCCACATCCCGGGGGGGTCCCCCGCCGCACCCCAACTGTGGCCGGGCAAGCTGGGGCATGGGCAGTGCCACACCAGAGGGCCAGTGCCTGGCAGCCGGGGGTCCTGACTTCCCCCGGGGACACGCGCTGCAGCGAGCATGGGAAGGCCGACACCCCCGCCCTCTGCCTATCTGTGTTCCGGGCCCCAGAACCTGTCCAGGGAGACAGGACTAAGGAAAACCACCGGTCCGATGAGGAAAAGCACCCCAAGCACACACAGCCCACTGCACCCGGGGGCCGGCACGTGCTGGTCCCAGGGCTACCCTGGGATGACCTGGCTGACGCCTCAGGCCCTGACTTTCCGCAGCCATTCCAGCCAAGTGAGCGGGCTGCCATTCGGGGCTGGCCGGGCCGGCGGCACACACACAAGGGGAGGGAGGAGGAGCCAGAACGCTGGGGAGCACAGTGAAGGCAGCTAGCAGAGCCCGCAAACTCCAGCAGAAGCCTGACACCCCTGATGTTCTTGGGCTCACATGCAGAGCACAGGAGGCCCTCCAGGAGCATGTGGCCTCCGGCTAAGTTCAATCTGATCCTGAAGTTCTGTGAGAACTTTTTTCCAAGTAGTCTCACTGGAACCACAGAGAGGAGACTCCACTTAACTCTGAGGGTAACACTCGCAACAGTCCTGGGGCCTGGTGGGGCTCAAAAAGAAGGAAAGATGCCCCTCCAATACTCGGTGGAGGGAGCTGAGAGTCCAAGCCCTTTGGGGCTGCCTTGTGGAGCTCCCACAGCGCTTGCTGGGCAGCCCCTCTGCCGGCCAGGAGGGGTCGCTGCTGCCCTTCGTGTCCCAGCCGGAGAGCCTGCGGCCTCCACTCCTGGGACTAGACAGACAACTACCGACCAGCAGCCACCAGGCAACTCAGTTTTAATCCCTGGTAATAACCACAAAATGGGAAGGTTTTGCAATTTTGCCTGTAGAGCCTGAAATAAAACAGCAATTTCTTCCACACGTACTGTGGTTAGCTGACAAAACGACCTCCCAACTTTCCAAGAGATGATTCACCTTTGGGTCGCAATCCAGTGACAGGGACTCAGGGACGGTGCCTCCGCAGGTGCTGTGGGACCTGGAGGCCCTGCCTCCTGGGGGGCCGGAGCGCTGGGCGGGGGGAAGCACCCGGCGGGAGGGCCGGGCCAGCCTGAGGTGGTTAGCAGAGACAAAGGGAGCACCTCCTGGGGGGCCGGAGGG